ATAGTTTAAAATATAAACCTTTTGGGCATAGTGGTGACGCCGAGGTAAAAGCACCCAACTCCCTTATTGACATGGCCCTCACAAGTTTGAGTACTAGCCATTTGATCTTTGTAGCAATTGTTCCCCTTTTATGTCTGTATAAAATAAAGGCCACTAGAATAGAATCAGAAAAGAAATCTTTAGCAACCATATACATAAAAGTGAGGAAATGAAAAAGATTTTGTGGAACATCAAGTTCTTTCGCCTCTTTGCAGAATGTGTTGCTTTCAAAGTGCTCCCATTTTGAATAGTGCATGTGTATTAGGCTGAAGGGTGTGAAATTCAGTTTTCTGCTGCATGTGGATGGAATACATCACTGCCCTGATGTCACCACCTTATTGTCTTTCATTTCACACACAACTGACTTTCCTGTTTAACCACTGTCAAATAAAAGTAACTAGACTCTAGTTACTAGAGCAAAGAAAACCTAAAAAAGAATCAGATGATCATCTGGGAATAAAACTTCGAGGTTGTGACTGTCCTAGGTGGCTGGATAACTACTTGTCCAAATAAACAGAAATTAGGTTAAGTCATCAGTTTAACTTTTAGCTTCAAATATTTGGTGTGCCCAAAGTAAGTAGATTTTCATCAATGCCAGCAGCTTAGCTCAACCTGAAAGTGATTAATGTTATTTGGCCATTGCTGTCGTCTTTCAAAACCGTTTCATCAGTTCTGTACCAGTGGCACACCAGTGTGGTTTAAATTGTGTGTGAGAGATGATTTGACCCTGCAGCAGAACTTTTCAACATGTGGCAGCTTGGCTTAAAAATAAAAGGTACACAACGGTGTGACAGGCATATTGCAGCATTTAGCTCCATGCTTCTCAAATTGTGTTGAGTACTAGTGGTGGTACTTGGAAGATATTCAGTGGATTACAGTATAAATCTGTGTATTGATTATAAGTTAAATACAAAGCAAATGAACCATTGCAAATTAAGCATAAATGTAAAGCAATATGAACAGTAAGAATAGAGTACAATGAAGGGCGCATGACTTATTCACATAAAAATAAAACATATTTCAAGTACAAAAAGTACACAGCAAAACATAAACACATTCAATGTCATATCACTTCATCATAAAAATTTTCAGATTTCTTAAAAACATTGTTCTGACACCTTTAATTGAGTGTCGATGCTTTTTAGATAACATTACATTTGTGATGTTTCTCACCTTGCTCTCTGTGGCTTCAATGCTCTTCCACTTAACTCGGGTTTCTTCCCTGCCCTTTTTGTTACCAGGCTTCATTCTTTCCCTTTCGGATTCCCTGATTGCTCAACCTCCTCACAGATTTGGCCCATATTGCCCTGGGTCAGCCATTGAATACAGTATACGTGGTGTGTGCTGATCCTCCAAATTGCCATGTGTGAAATCCATCCCACTTGCTCCTGAGGGAGTAGTCATATCATTCAAAATGAAACGGGCCTCCCGTATCCTCCCCTTATTCTTTGACTCCGCCGTTCTTCTATGGCCGCCTGGGACTGTGCAGTTGTGAGGCTTTATAGTGGAAGCCTATTAGACAAATCTGAGAAGAATGCTGCAGAGGTGCTATGGTACCAGGTTGTCAACGTGCCCCACACTCTTATATAAACATATCAGTCATGCTGACTTGGAGGTCTCGCTGAATTGTATTATTGTCCTATTTTGGTATAAATGCACTGAAGGAGGGGTTGCATCTCTCCATATGGAAGAAAATTGCATCAGGTTTTAGGGAGACTGCTTCGTTAGATTTATTAATAACATCTGTCATTGTGTCTCAGTCAATGTGGAGGTAAAAGCTATTCGGAAGTCAAATATGATTAGAATCTATTTCCGTGCATGAAGTGGCACCCTGCTGCTTATAAGCATATTGTCCTCCATTTGAGCATCTGCACATTATTATATATGAGTTTAAACTTAAGCACCACTGTCACAATATGCTTGCCCTTGTCTCATCTGTCACAATATTCTTTATTTCTCTTCTGGAAAGTTCTGAAATGGAGCCAGTACGTCAAGTCATCGATGTAAGAAAAACAAAATAGCGAAAAGAGAGGACCGAGATGTTAAATTGCTTTAAGGCTGTTACAATGGAGGTGTATCCTCTTGCAGCTGGCGGAGCGGCGCATGCGCTCGTTGTCCTCTAATGAGCTTACATTGAGGGACCCGTGTGGAAACAAAAGGCTGCGCTTGTCGACCACACCAGACTCCCTTCACCCACCCTCTTCCTGCTCCCCCAGCACTGAGCGTGACAGACCAAGAGCAGAGCGCCGGTCCCTTCCTGGTGGTGTGATTAGATTGGGGCCGAAGTCTCCAGCTGGCAGGCCTGTCTGTGACTGGAGGCGGCCGTCCCCAGCGCTTGTCACTGCCTGACACCTCTGACAGGCAGGGGACAGCTTCAGCAGACAGGTTCATTAAATGGCATTTTTTACAGCTGGGCCTCTAAAAAATGAGGGCTGGGCTTTGTCAAATCCCCAAGTCTACAGGGACCTGTGCGTGTTAGTTTAGACCAAAGCTTTGTTGTTATGACATTTTCTTTTTTTTTTTTTTGATCTGGGCAGTTTGCAATAAGCTTTTTTTTTTCTCTCCTCTTTAGCCTCTCTTCTTTGACAGCTAGCCTTTTGCCCTGTACTTTGTCACAGCATCAAACTTTTCACATTAACAGTATACAAAGAAAATTTTGCAGGAATACTGGTCAGGTTAATGCTTGATCAAGTCGTTTGCCATGTTTTGGCTGTAAAGACATTTAAAGCAGAGTCTAACTGTGCCACTCTATTATTATCGTGCTTGTTTTGACATAGAAATGTATTGAAGGGTACAGCAGAGCAAAATAAAGTCTAGACCACTGACATCAACAAATAATTCAGTCTCCAAACAGCTTGATGCGTCTTGAGTGAGTAAATTGTGGCCTTCTAATGATTGCACATCTGTGTTCTTTGCTGTAAAGCATTGTGATCAAGAGTGCAGAACATCTGGCTGCAGATGAAATGTGAGGGGGGCTCAGGGGGTGGGGGGTGAAGCTTCCTTCCCTACGAAAGTGGCTGCTGGCCCTCAACAAAATGCCTGCAGCTCTGTAGCCATCCCAACATCACCTCCCTCTCTCTGTTTCTCCTCCACTCTGCTTGCTGCCTCCTCGGGGCTCTGCTGTCTCTATGACAACTGTTTGAGTAGGGGGTTGCAGAGGTGTCAAGCAGGGGCATTACTAGTAGAAGAGCACGAGAGATGCTGTGCTGTACATTCAGTATCTCCACCTAATCCAATTTTAATTGAGCTCAAGAGATTTTGGCTGTGGCACGGAGGTCGGGCATGAGCTATTCCATGGAGAAATTAAGGCAGCCCAGCTTGTGCTGCACTCTTCCAGTCTGTCACTATTTTAAATGAGCATTAGCATCAGACCTAACCCAGCGCACCATCTTGGTTGCTTATTTCCTTCCCCTTGCCCACTCCACCTTAGTCACACCACCTCACACACACACACACACATACACACACACGCATGCAGTCACTAACGTGGTGCAGAATTTCACTCGCCTGTTACATCTTTATTCTTCCACACATCCATTGTCTGTGAAGTGCACCAATGTGTGATTATAACCCGGGAAGCCGATGATGCTTCTCCACAGCTCACCCCGTTGTACAGAATTGTTGAGTGAGAAGGAGAGAAGGTGGAAAGATGTGTGTGTGTGAGGGAATCATTCTCACCTGTCAGAATATCTGTCTTGATTTGTGTGTCTGTGTGTGGACCGATTTGTCCTCTGGTGCTGCATACACTAATGATTCTTTGTCTGCTCTTTCTTTTTCTACATGTTATGGTTTTTATTGATCCTGTATGTGTCACTAACCCACGGGGTTGTTTTGGTGACCACTTCTTTTTGGTCCAGTGAATGGTGCACACCAGCAGATAAGTGTGAAAGAGAATCTGTTGACAGCTGCAGTTTTTGTTGAAACTTGCCTTAAGTTATGTTATATTGTCTCTTTAAATATTTTTCACAAGTTTAAATGAGAATCGAATGAAATAGAGCTGTTCCGATTATCCCAGTCTGTACTACACTTACATTTAGGTGAATACATCTGGTGAACAGCTTTTAGACCTAGCTATGTGTTGTTGACAGCAGCCTGAGAAGAAAAAAATCTCATAATTTGTTTAATTTCTGTAACTCTGTTGGATCCACTTTTGCCTTCTGATCTGCCTTCTTGATTTACGTCAATATGTCAGTAAAAGGTGCTCAATTGGCTTAAGATCTAGAAACTGTAAAGGCCATTGGAGTAAGCTATCTCATTGTCATATTCAAGAAACTGGTTTGAGGTGGTCTGAGCATTAAAACATCATGTATTATCCTGTGCAAGTAACAATCAAAATATGAATACTCTGTGGTCAAAAAGGACAATGTTTAGTTTCTATAGTATTTAGATGATGCTAAGTGATGATCAAGTGGCCCAAATGTGCCTGGAAATTATCTCTTGAATTTTATATCACTATCACCAGCCTGATGGAGGACAGATCTCTGTTTTCCTGTTGTTCACACTAAAGTCTGAGCCTTATACTTGAATGTTGCAGCCAAAATTGAGACTGATGAGCTCAAGCAACATTCACCAGTATGTTGTTGTGCAATTTGTTGGGTCAGAGTTGGTGTTCCAGATGCACTGGTTGTAATAGGTGCTTATTTAAGCCACTGTCATTTTGAACCAGTCATAGTTCAGTTGTCTGGAAAGTAATTGTTTTTAAAACAACACCTTGGTGCAGGAAAATAGTGGAATAAATGAGGCAGGAAAAAAAGGGGGAGTGTGTGAGCCTTTTTGTTAATTAACTCTACTTGCATACCTACACTGAAAAAACAATGGCTTTCCAAACACTCACTTTTTTGATTTATGTTTAATACACCATTTAAACACTGAATTTATAATGCTGGAAAAACTGTCAACAGTATGACATGTACCTTCTGCACATTTGTTTCAAATAAATAGCTTCTCCTTTCATCTCCCAGGTCTTGGTTTACACAGATGGTTTGCATGGCAAATGGATGTTCAGCGAGATTCGGGCAGTCTTTTCCAGACACTACCTTCTGCAAAACACTGCAATGGAGGTTTTCATGGCTAATAGAAGTAAGGAAAGTAGCAAATAAACCATTTTTTCCCCCAAAAAAATTATTTAACAGTAATCACATATTTTTTATGCCTGCAGCGTCTGTCATGTTCAACTTTCCGGACCAAGCCACAGTAAAAAAGGTTGTCTATTGTCTCCCTCGAGTAGGAGTGGGCACTAGCTATGGACTTCCACAAGCAAGGTAGGATAAGAGAAGTCAAGTAAAATTAAACAAAAACTTGTTGGCGTAATAATTCATATCTGTAATGAGTTGTATTTTGGTGCTTTGTGGTATCGAGGTGCATCCATTCAGCCAGGAACAAATGAGTTTATTTGAAGTCCCATTGCTCCAGACACTGAAGTGGATGTTCACTGACCCTGACTGAACTGACCTAATTCTGCAACTGAAAACTCAATGTAGCCATACCAATGGCCACCGAGGGAAAAAAAAAAGAAACAGATTCTCTTTAGGCTTTCAGCTTTCATGGCGCTAACAGGCTTTTTAAATTATTGCTCTAAAACAAACGGCCCCACGTTCAGAGGATATAATACAACTGACATCTTTGCAGAATCTGAATTAATATCTTGCTTAGAGACCATGCAACACTGCATTCATTTTTTGTTTGGCATTGTGGGTTCATTGTTCTCAGTTTCATAATTTGTGGAGCTTCGGAATGTAACTTTTAAAAAGGATATGTTCTTTTAACATATTTGTTCAAACTGTCACCATGTTGTGCCAGTAGGGCATGAGACAGATAATCATTGAATAAATTGCGCTCCTCTGGTTTCTCCCTGTGATTCCACTGCCACCTGCAGAAATGCACCTCTTTCGGCGAGAAACAACCAATCAGAGCCAGGAGGCTTTCAGTGCAGTCAGTCCAGCTTGTATATCCGTCCCACACCTTCCCTCTTGCTCTGTTCTACACTACCACTAGTTCCCCACAACACAACTAGCAGTAAATGCGTATGGTAGTTAGCATGGCTACCAATGATTGCAAATAAACAGTGTTCCTGTAACAGTAAGTTGTTTCTCTCTCTCATTAACACAGCAGCTGTGCGTACAGCAGCATGAAACCCTCCTCCTGACTCTGATTGGTTGTTTCTGACCAAGAGAACTGCATTCCTGCACATGGCAGTAGGACTGTAGCGAGAAGGCTAGATTTGTTAAGATTATCTGTTTCATGTAGTACTGTCACAACATGGTGATAGTTTAAAAAAATATGTAAAGAAAAAAGAAAAGAAGGTATTTACTGCTGCTTTAAAGCACGGGTCCTCATCTCCAGTCTTTGAGAGCTACTGTCCTGCAACCTCTAGAGGCATTGCTTCTCCAAACACACCTGCATCAAATAGCTGAATTCCCTCAGTTCTCCAATGGAATCTGGTTAACGTCATCACCTCGTGCTGAAGAAAGGATGCATCTTAAAGGCGCAGGACCTAAAGGCCCGGACCTGGGCGCTCATCGTTTAAAGCATTGATTAGGCTTACAGCATTTTGAGGGATATGTGTTCAGAAATATCTGAATTTGTGAAGAACATCATCTCCAATTCTTTTTTTGATTGTTTTTAGACGGATCTCCCTGGCAACCCCTCGGCAGCTTTTCAAATCCTCAAACATGACCCAGCGCTGGCAGAGAAGAGAAATCTCCAACTTTGAGTATCTGATGTTTCTCAACACCATAGCTGGTAAAGTTTTAATGAAAGCACTTACATGTTTTCCAAGTGAGATTTATTATTTGAAACTGTAAAGTAGCTGGAAGTACAGAAATAATAAATCTGTTTTTTGGGTTTTTTTTTTTTTTACAGCCATCAGTTACATTTATAGGTTCTGATTTGTTTTCTCCCTTGTCCAGGTAAACTTAATGACCTGTGATGGTTTTAGGTTTTAATCTATTATTTGTGTGAATCTTTCCACAGCAAGTCTTTATAGTTAGCTAGCAGGATCAATAAATTTTATGTGTCAGTGGTGTTGGAAGCACTAACACTAAGTGGGCTCAGGTATGTCGTATTTGTTTAAGAATCCATGGTGGCTTTAGGCGAGACTCAACACAGTAAACTTCACTGTTCATGAGTATCTGCCGTTTGAAGCAAAGGCAGGCGCGGTGGATTTTTGCCGGATAATTAGTGCCTGGTTTTGTGAAAGTGTACCCGAGTGTCTGCAGAGTTGAAAGGTTCTGTTGTCGACTCTCTGATCTGAACCACAACTAACAGGGAAGGCAAGAACAACTGCACGCTACTCTGCTCAGAGATGTGTCATCCTCTCTGTCGCTGCATATTCATGCATATTTATATTTAGCTGGCGCTCGAGAGTCGATACATTATTGTCAGCTAATTAGATGTAAGGCAGACACAAAAACATGCCCAAAATTCATTAAAAATCCCTAGTAATGACCTAAGCTGCCAGATATGTCAGAATAGTGTGGAGCGGGAGACAGGCGGGGGGTGAAGTGCTGGGACGAGGCGCGAACAGGAAGACTTCTTCTAATTAAACACTATTCCACTGTTATTAACATCCTGCCACCCTAACTCAGGACTCAACACCACTAGGTCTCACCACACCAACGCCCGACCCCATCCTCTGTGCTCAGCCTGCTGTTTCCTTCCCAGTGTGTGCCATTAACCTTGATAATTATGCTCTCTAGCTTCCCCCAAACCTTTCTAGCTTCTCTGAAGAAACATTCTCAGTGACTAGCCTGTCAGGATCTTAGATGGCTTTGGCACATTTAGAATCTCTCGCGAACTTGCTGCAAAAACACAGCCTCTCTACTGGTCCAATTTTAAAATACTTTGTGCTTATCATTAAAGTCTTTGAACGTTTGAAGGAACTTCTTTTTAATGAGGAAATGTTCATCATATCATGTTGCAAAATGGTCAAAGGATTAGCTCCAACTTTGAATCATAACATGTTAATATAAATCACACTTTAATGTTTTGTGAACTAGGATTTTTTTGAATGTACATACATGTATTGATTTTGATGACAAGAGTAGGACAATATAAATATGATATTTGATTTTTTTTTTGTTTGAGTCCCTTTGAAAGAGCCAGAGAGTCTGGTAATCTTATGGAATTACATTAGAGGGTAGTTTTCTTTTCTTTTCTTTTTTTTTTTACACTGGCTGATTTATCTAAATTTCTGCTCAATCTTTTTCCATCGAATACATTCTTATTATTCACACAAAGAAATGGATCTATAAGCCTCTGTTGTTCACATTTAGTTTATGGAAAATAATTGGGTGTCCAGAGGAAACAGGGAAATAATTTCTAAATAGTTGACACTATCTGTGAGAAATATACATATTTGGCTACATATAGTTAATTTATGAATTATTATAAAAATTGTTGTATTTTCACACTCAATTGGCTTTTTAAAGAGTTTTTCCCTTAATGTAGTCTTTTGTTTGATGATTAGAAATATGAAAGTCTAACACAAAAGCTCACAGATTAATTTTGTGAGGGGACTAATACTTTTTCATATTACTGAAGGTGGTGTGGCTGTCAGTCTCTGGTACTTAAAATTCCTGAATTGCATGTGATCAGCACCAACAATACGCTGCAAATGTTTTTTTTAGAGTGCTAAAGCAATTTTTGCAAAAGCAGGTTGAATTTATTTGATTTGATGCATCCATTCATAAGAAGAATGTTGAGACATAAATGCTGTTATGCTTGAGGTCACATTACAGTCAGTGATGTTGAGGATCTCAAATCACATTCATTTGTTTTTTTAAACATATAATCAGCTATGCGGTGCTGATTCTAGTAAACGTCTTATTCGCAAAGTTTACATATTTTGGAAGGAAAACATTTACAAGCAGATTATCAATGCAGTAAAAGCAAAAGTTCACAAAAATAGAACACCTTGGAGATGGCTGCCCTGATTTCATGTTGTTTCAGCCTCTCAGGCTAAAGAAAGTTCTTTTTGCTAATTCAAGTAGCATTTAGCTGGTCACACTACCTGTTGGTAGGCAACTGAGGGGTTCGGTGTTTTGTGGCAGGGGAAAATCTGGAATCAGTCTAAACCTTCCCAATTATCAGATGACTAATCTTCCACACTGAGTCACAGCCACTGTTTTCTAATTCTACTGCCTGTTTCTTTTCTCTTTTTTTTTTTATCTAAAATTCATTTCAAAGTAAAGCAGGACTGACAATGCTGAATTTGCTCTTAATTTTTCCCATGAGTTCCTGACACATGTTTTTCCTCTGAAAATATTTTCTCCCTTTATTAAACATAAAGGAAGCTGACATCCAGCAATTCAGCCGTTCAACACTGAAATGACATCAAAGATATTTAGTAGCTAGATTCTGTAGCTCTGCAATTACAACTGCTCCACTTGCAGACAGGCTTCATGCGACTTTCACCTTTTATTGACAACTCACACTCAGCAGCTCCTGTCATGGGAAACAAAGAAAACATTCTCACACTTCCACCACCACTTAGAGCCCTTCAACCTTTTCACATTTTGTTACAGTGCAGACAAAATTTCCATAGCATTTTCTTGAAATCCTTTGTGTTTACAGACCATCATAAAGTTTTATAAAGTTATAAAATGGATGAGAACAAACAAACAAAAAAAACAACATATGATGTCTTAGTCTTAGGTTGATGAATTGAACAGTGCTGTAAGAGAAATTCTACTTAGGATATTCTTTTATAATCAAATTCTGTATTACACTTCTATTCCACATGACCCCTGAACTGTGTGTGTTCCATTGTCTTCATGTTGCTGTTTGTTTGCTAATTTTTATTAAAGATTATTTTTTATTAGATTAACATTTTTAAAATCATGTTGGCATCCACTTATGTGCTATTTTATGTTTGTCTATCATTTAATATCTCAATCATTTACATTAAAGTTTGTTTGTAACATGACATAATGCAAACATGTTCAAGGGTCATGGATACTTTATAGCAGAACAGAAGGAAATCTGTGAGCTCTGAGATCAGGGTAACACTGCATACTTATCCACACAAGATGCACATATGCCCTACACTCCACCTCTTGTTTTTCTCCCAGTCTGTCATCACTCACAGATTTTTGTCTGCCAACTGTGCCTAGGGAGGACGTATAATGACCTGAACCAGTACCCGGTCTTCCCCTGGGTTCTCACCAACTATGACTCGGAGGAGCTGGACTTGACCCTTCCAGGGAACTTCAGAGATCTCTCCAAGGTATGAGGACCTCTTGGCCATGCAACTTAAAATCTTTTACATAAAATGCTCATTTATTGGTTGGGGATACGCTTATTTAGATTTAAATTGTAAACATGTTATGTGTCAGAAGACCACTTCACATTCTAAACTTGGAAGTTGGTGGAAGAGTCCTATAAAAATCTTAACAAAAATGAATATTTGATGTCTACATTTTATAAGCTCTGTTGTGCATGGCGACCTTTTGAACTAACACTAATCACTATGTCTCAGTTACTTTCAGTACACGTACATCATGACTTTATCATACTTTTTCAGATGCTAAAGAAAAATCTGCACTGAGACAAAAGAACACTTCTGGAAAAAGATTACAATTTTGCAACTTTTCTAGCTTGTAAAGAACAACCATTAACATCTAATAAGTGCATAGATGAGACAGTATATGAACTTGAAAGATAAATGTACTGCAACAGTACTCATATAAAGTCCACCTTAGCTGTATAATATGGGTCTTATGGTGATGTTGAGTTGACTGAGTCCTGCAGAATCAAAGTATCCCCAAATTATTACACTTTTACCTCAGTGCTACACAGATGTTATGGTTTATTTTTCCAGACAGCTGTATTTGATGTATGCCAGCCATGACAGTTTTCTCTTGTCCGAATAGTTAAATTTTAGACTTTGCTCAAATTAATTATTCAAAAAGTGCTGCCCTTTGACTTTGGCAGTCATTTCGAATTTCTTCTATTGCAGACCATTTTCTGCGCATGGCAAAGTCTGGTGTATATTAAGCTGAGACATTTAAATCCCTCCCCAAAGTAAATCACCTCACATAGCTCTTTTGAGGATAAGTTTGGTGTTAACTCTCACTTCAGCAAGCAGCAGGACGGATAAATTGATAGCTGGATAGACCGAAGGATGTGTTGCAGTGAACTCTGACAATTACAAAGCGCATAAATCTGCGTAATAACAGGATCCTTACTAATGCTACCCAGCTACAAGAGCTCAGACACAATGTGGCCAATGCCCCGCAGCCCTGATAAATAAATTTCAACGTTTTCTGTAACTGAAGGGGAGAAGGCAGCAGATCACTCTACCACGAACCACGGCCCGGTTTACTGGTTTTCTACCCCCCTTCTGTCTCTATATCTCGCTCTTGCACGCTGCTGCTCACTGACCTGAAAACAGTCGCATTCCTGTCTGAGCGCTCTCACTCACGCCAGTGCTGCCTTATCCCCTCTCGTTTCCCTTGAAGCACCACTGTTCTAGCTTGGAGCCAAGTTTTCCGGTCTCACTTCTCTACAGTTTGCATCAATTATTAGGTTTTCAATCAACATTATCATCAACTTCAAAATAAGAGAAGTAATAACTAAAAAGTCGATCAATGTAACAATCTCAATTTCACCAACCCAGAACGTGTTGAGCTACGTATTGAGAGTTCTTATCTTGCTGTGGTCAACTCAGCAACTTTCGTCTTTACCTGTTGGGTGTCTCAGGTGGACTGAGAACGCCGCCGCGTGCGTGTGTGTGCGTGTGTGTGTGTGTGTGTGGATGTGTGTTTGAGGGTGGTTGAGCAGAGCTGAGCCACATGCAACCCAACTGCCCTGGGGAGACAGTTATTTATTGTAATGTATTCCAGTGACATCCTCCCATGCTGTTTACAGGCCTGAGCTGCCTTCATTAGCATGAGTTCACAGCCCATGTCTCCTGACAGTTGTCCTTGGAACCCCGGGGCTTATTCCTCCAAAAGTTCACTGATACTATTGCAGAGCAGGACAGAGGCCTGCACTCGTGTCCTCTCTTCTTGGTCTGCTCTTTTGTTCCTTTATGGATTAGTAGTAGTGCTACTGTCTCTGGAGACCTGTTCATTGTATAGTTAGAGCGAGTGTCTTCCTCAGATAGATTTCCAGTTCATGTGCTTTTACTTTAAGAAGGTGATGTCTGTGTTGGCAGTGGTCTGGTACTGTCCTGTTTAATCCACTTAAGTCGAACGAGTTCATTTGCTTAGAAAATCCAGTTCGTTTGGTAAGGCGTGAATGAACTCTGATGTGGACCAAAATAGCGAACTTTGGTCCGCCTACAAACGGAGGTCACTACAATCTGATGCCACTCAACTTTTGTGAAGAAGGAAGTTGCACTCAGTGTTTTCTTCAGAAGTTTTCATGTTGTTTCCTTCAGTGGTTCTTGATGCAACTCCACTACAGGCGGGAGTTTGGTTCGTTTGACACAGTGCAGTGTGAAAGAGTACAGCACCAGCTGAAGATGTAACAAATGTAGCATTCTTGCTCCCCAATTGATCAGGATCTCCCATACCAGTACCACTAAGTCTAGCAGTACTGTTTCAAATGCGTATGTCCAGTTGTCTAGGGGTCTAAAACATCAATACCTGTCTTACATTTGTAGAAGTCCTCAACACACCTGAATGAAATTTCTAAATTGTTATTAGTTTTACTAATGACTTAATAATTTGATTCAGGTATGCTGAAGCAAATAGACATTGAAAAATTGCTGGAAGCTGACTTTCAAACATGAGAGTTTTACAGCACTTACTTCAGCCATTCTGCTTCTTATAGAAGCCCTGAGCTCATATAATTACTGGAGCAGTATTTAATCAGCAGGCAGACAAAAATCTGGGTAAAGATATCCTTATACTAAAAGTCTAAGACAAACACACAAAAAAAAAAATGTCTCAACAATATTTTCACAACTTTATCAACAGAGGTTAACATTTTGTAACAATTTAATTAATATTCACCACTCACACAACTTGGTTTTATATAATACACATATTTATTTTATTTTATTTAGTTTTTGTTTTTTTCAGTGAGTGCTGTCTCGTCGTCTACTTGGATTGCAGTTTTTAAACTTTAAAGTAAACATTCACCCTGTAAGGATTTTGCAGTCAGAACATAAATGCTGAAGAGATAAGCACGTGCATATGTTTTTGCTTTTTGATTTACCACATGGTTGACAACTGAAGCAGCCCATGTCATCTACTGACTCTTTATAACGCAACACGTTTACAATCAAATCTCACGCTAGAGTTGCACATTGCACACTTTCCCACAGATTACTCATACCTGAAAGGTGCTTCTCACTTGTGATTTATTGATCCCTGGGCGGACACCGTTGTTTAAGCTGCTCCAGGTTTGCCTCTGTAAATGGTATCCTCCCAAACCTGTACGCACCCACAATTACCTGCTGGTTGGGCATTCAGTGAGCTGTAAACAGTGATATTGAACATTTCATCGCCGTGCCTCGAGGCCAAACTTCTGCATACTTGTATGTCAGAAATATTTACGCAGTCAAGTGTGTCATTTGATTCTAATGATTATTTCTTGATGGAGTGACAGGTCTATGATAGATGAAGAGAAGTTTCCTCATAGTTGTTAAATGGTGCGATGAAGATTTAATTGCAAAAGAAAGCAGGAAGGAGCAGATGTCATTTAACTCTGCTTTTTCTCACCCTCACTACAGTTCGAGGTATGCATATAATTTTAAAAAAGAATTTTAAAATATAGTCATATAAATAGCTCAGAAGTTTGCATCCCTGAACCAGTGCACTAAAGTTAAAAATAACAATTTTCACCCAAATTGTATTTTTAAATTTCAGCCACCGGAAGGGAAACTTGGCTGCCCCAAATCGCCCTTTTCTGCACTTTATTCCCCACAACAGATTCTTATTCCTTCTCACTTTCATTCCAGCCAGGCTGTTTGTGAGCACATCTGCTTTATCTTGATTTGGAGCAACTTTATTGCATTAGACTGGAGCTCCATGCTGTGCTGCTTCTGACAACGGAAGCAAAAATGACTGTGACTTGCCCTGACAGAGCACCATAGCAACATACAGTAATGTAATTTGTTTTGAAATATAAAATGCAATATGCTTCTCCTTGGGAGGTGGCTTGGATATAAGCAAACAAAAGGAGACACGTTCTTCACGTTCACTCACCAACAGCCACACTCGTTTCCAGTAGCCTTGGAGAGCAACACCAGCGCTGATCCTAATTGGATGTGAAGCCAGTCAAAGTTTTGATCATACTTTGCTTAGTTCTGTTGATGTGTTTCAGTGGGTCAGGTGTTATACAAGAAATGAACTCCGAAAGAAAAGTAAGTGTGGAACTGTCTGATGCAGTTGTTCTCATTGTCTCATAACTATGATCAGTGCAGGGAAAGGGAACAAGGCGCTTTTTCTTTGCTGCAGAGAGCTAACAGAGCCTGTACTAAACTTATCAACAGATGGTGAATATGACAGCATTAAAAGGACTAAAGTACCACTGACGTGCTTTTGTTATGTTATAAATGTTTGCTTTTATTTGATATGAAATCCCAATCATGCATTCTCCTCCTAAAAGTTATATATAGGTCTCCTCATTTGAGCTTTTTTTTTGTCATTGATGCAAAGTGTAACTTTAGAGGTATTTATTTGACTATTAAGTAAGAAGTGACATTCACCTGACCAATGAAGCACCCAGACCATGTTGACGGTGTGCAGTATTTATAATAGCCACAAAGTAGCATTTCAGAAACAACAATTTAGGCTCCTTCTTATGTAAAGCTTCCATGTTTCTGTGGCCCAATGCATTATCTGAGCTAGCATAGTGCTGAAATATACATTTTCTTGTAGCTACACTCAGTGAAAGATTACCTTTTTTTTTTACTTGGAAATGTCAAGTCACATAAAATATTTTGATGAAATCATGTTTCTTAAATTATTGTTTTTTTATTAAACAGAGGTCACAGTTCACCATTGTGCTTTCTATAAGATAACAATGACAAAATAAAATAAAATGAACAAGCCTTTTGACATGATGTACAATAATTAAGTCTTTATGTTTATGAGGTTCGAGACATTTAGGTTTAGCCACCTTATTTTTTGAGGTGGTGTTGTAGGATTGATAATGGAGGTCACTGCAAATGAGTTTGTTTCGAAGGCTAATTGACCTATATAAACAGAGCTATATATACGTCATTCATTCATTTAATTAAATTTTATTGAGGTTGCAGGACAATGGCTCTCAAAGACTGAAGTTGTAAACCTCTGATCAAGCATATTTGCCATCTGTAGCAATGGAGATAACCAAAAACCTAAATATGCTAGTACATTTAATCAATGACCATTTCTCTAGGTCATCCCCAAAACTTTTGAAAGATGAAGTGTGTTACATCTTTAAGGTGTAAAAGTTGATGATCTGCTTTTCAAGAGACCAACTGTTTACATGGTGGCCCAGAGGTCCAGCTCTTAACTCATGCAAAGCATGTTGGTTTTTAGTAATAGGGCAAATTCACTGCTTGTGAATAAACCCAAGAATCACTAAAAACAAGTTTAGCCTCATGAATGGCATCACTTGCTAAAACTCTTCAGGCCCCATCAGTCAGGGGTATGCTCTGTTGTTTTCTGTAAATGTCTTTGCTTGCCAAAAACAAGTTTTGATATGACAAATACAACGGTTTTTGCTTTTGTTTTTTTGTTTGTTTTGTTTTGTTTTAACACAGGTCACGCACAGGTAATGCTTCTTATTACAGCTATGCTAACACAGCAGAACAACTTGGGAACACTGTAAGCATATTTTTTGTCTCATTGATTTACAGCCAAACACTGAATTAATAGAAAACACTTTGTCAACTTAATTGTTTTTGGATCTCTTCTGTGTAACTTGGAGCTTCTTGAAAATGTGTGTGTGGTTTGCTCTGTAAGAACACACACACAGCAAAATTCAAGGTCACGTTTTGTATATTTTATTTTACAAAAACATATATTCATTCACTGTATGGCATTTTTAGCAGTAGACATCCAGTTAAATATTTAAGACGATAAACATCAGAACAAACTACTTGACTTGACAAGATTAGTACTGATACAAAGTAGTACTAGCAGAGAACGTTTTCACCTTTGTTTTCCTTGTTTCAAATGTATTTCATTGACTTTTTTTTGCATTGCTCTAAACTACATTAGTCAAACTAGCAGTGGTTTGATGGAGTGTGTGACGTCTCGTGTCTCACACTCCAATCCATCTGGGCCAAGACGTCACATGCAAGGCTATTACCACCCCATAAATCTATGCAGATCTCAATAAACTTCTCCTTCAGTCTTCTCGGTTGTGCTAACACTGATGTGGTTTGCCATTAAACTTAAAGGAAGAATGAAAACGTCTCCATTTAGTTAGGACTTTTTTCTTTCTTTTTTTTTTTTTTTTCTCCTGAGGAATGTGCTGTGTTCCACACAAAGATGTGACTGCAGAGATGCTTTGTCTGAGTTTGACAGAGATTTCCATTTGGATAAAGATTAGCTGCAGTTTTAATAATTCCAGGAAATTGCTTTCGTTTTACAATTTGGTCTCAAAATGTTTATAGTTGCAGTTTATTCCATTTCTTCTTAACCTGCTTTAAGGCAGAAAAAACAGTCATTGATTACATTACCAGTCTTCCTCCCCCTTTGTCACTGATTCAGTAGTACTGAGTATATTAATATTGACTGCCTATATGCCTCCAAGGCTTTTATATTGGATGTTGTGATTGAAAGCGCAGGAAAAGCAATTTATTCACCACTAAATGTGGGTTTAATGGGAGTCATTTTGTTGCATTAAGAACTCATGGAGATGAAAGGCCGAGTGGTGGTGTCGCAATAATACTTAAGATATTATAGAGGAGTTGGTTTAATTATTAACCAAACTATCAAAGCTTCTAACAGTGAGGTAAGTGTATTAAGGGTGAATGCATTTAGGAACATATTTTGTTTTTATATCTTCATAATTATGTGCTTGCGGACATTTACACCTGCATGTTCTTTTCCATAAATTGTAGTGTTTTATTAGTGACATCATGGCTGTTCTCAAGTTTGTGAATGCTGATATTCATTCAGATCCCGATCTGCAGTATCTCTCCTTGTGTGTTAAGACCTGCTAACTTCCATCAGGACTGCAAAATAATAGAAAGCGTCTCTCAACACAGCAGTAACAGTAAAATTTCTGTAATCTTGGCTTGAAAATGTTTTTGGATACATTTGCTCTGACCTGCATGAATTAAAAACATTTAAGCAGGGAGAGTTTTTGTTCCTTTCTTGATCATCACTATGCCATCCTCTGCCCTTTTGCTGTTCTACCCTTTAATTTTTGACAGAATTTAGGACAACAGGACCTTTTAAACGACCAGGAAAATAAATGTGGTTTGACATAAAAGTCTCACAAATTGAAGCTCCATTTGTGCTTTAAGCTTTCCAGCAACCTGAGCTTGTTTTATTTCTGTTCACCACTTTGTATCTGTAGTCCATATTTAAATTTTTTTTAGGTATATTTTTACAGTAATTTATACTGCAAAATTGTTGGTATTTTTTCTGGCTGGTAAATCAAATTTGTGTCATTTTTGTGAAAATGAGGCCAATGCTGCTTTGTATTTTTCACAGCATCTTGTAAAGGTTTTTACCGGTTACATCTAAGAGAAGTTGGTTGCAGCGCGTTGAAGTTGAAGAAAACTTTTACATCGTGACTTGTACTCAAAGTTAGGCCATTTGAAAGCCATGTTTAATTTTCCTTTCACTGCACAATTTCATGCTAATTTGTGTTAATCTATCACACAAGGTCTGAATAAAAATTCATAGAGGTTATTAGTTGTAATGTGACAAAAATGTGAAGATGTTCTGAATTCTTTTGCAAGGCAGTATGCTGTGTGCTTGGATTTACTGACCTAGAAAGGTGACTACTCACCAAATACCCAAGCAAGCATTCCTGTCACTGGTATTTTCTCATTATGGGATTTTCAGAACAGGTTTATTCTCGAAGGAAGCAATGATATGCAAAGCAAAATGCACATATTTTGCAGTTTCACATAAGTTGAGGGTTTTTTTTTTTTCTTCCCTCCCTCAGAGAAACTTTAGTTACCGTAATTTTAACTCTGGACGAGAATGCAGTGAGAACGAATTACCTACTTCCGCTGACATTTACTAACATGATTTACAGTAAATTGTAAAAGGAACATGACACACAAATAGAGACTTTGTTTTCTGAGCTAAAAAAAATATTAAGGAATTTTAACTTTTATTATTAAATAATGTTTGAATGAAATTTTTTTTAAAGAAGCAGGAAAGGATTTATCCTTTATTTATGTAACCTGTAAGCTAATTAGAGAATGCACAGATGTACTGTTTCAAATAATCAGTCATATTCAGCAGATTATTTTTTTTTTTAAGTGTAAGAAAGTCCTTCAGGGTGGAAATATTGGTAAACTTAAATTAAGTAACCACAACTGCCAGAACTAAGCTTTTCTCTTTCTTTTTTTCCAGCCTGTTGGTGCATTGAATCCAAAGCGTGCAGCATTTTACTCTGAACGCTTTGAGTCGGGAGAAGAAGACCAGACACCTCCCTATCATTACGACTCCCACTACTCCACTGCTGCCACCACTCTGCATTGGCTCATCAGAATAGTGAGTATGATCATTCCTTTTGCCGCCCTCCATTCCTGTTATTATTCTAATCGGAGAATTAGTCAAGTATGTGAATAGGAGTGAAGTCAAACCAGCGCCTCAGACAGATTTTCGTTTCATTTTTTTTTGTGTGTGTGCAGTGGTTGATTGTCACTTGTCAGACTTGATGATGCTGTTACTTTGAGGTCTGTCGGCTTCTGCACAGGATGCAGCTCAACATTTCAATTTGATTGGGGCTGAGTTGGACCAATGGCGCTCAGAAAACGCATTTCACAGGCCAGTAAACCGGCATATGTGAACTAAATAAAGAGTGGCTGGGTAATGATTTACAGGGGCTGCTGTGACAGGTTTATGTGTTTCAGGCAACCCAGTGAGCGCTGGAGACATGTCCATCAAGGTTACTGAGCACTGTCCTCATTTACTGAGGAAGAGGAGCAGGAGGCACCTCACCTCCAGTATGGTTCCTATAAAATAGGCCTTTATAACCCACAGAGCTTCTTTGGAGCACTTTACACATGGCTTTGGAAAGTTTACAAAACTGGAACAGTTTTATGGAGAAAGTGCGGTTTAGCTATCCAATTGCCATTATTACTACAAAAGAGCTAATGAACTGAGGGAGTTTCCCTGAAATAAGCTGGAAAGGTTTCAGCGGGTTTGTGTCCTCCACATGGTGACCGGTCTGTTCTCTCAAACAGCCAATAGTCGAGATCAGGCTCTCTGAAATCCAAACTTTATTATTTGCTGCTCTCAGAAAGATCACAATAATTCTTTTTCTTCAGGTTTTAATACATTAAATTATTTCAGAGCTATTTTCTATTGTTCAGCTGGAAGAAATAACAAGAAAAACTAATGTAGATATTCTGAACAAGTGGGCAATTGCCTGTTTTGAAAAATTACGTTTCTTTTTCAGCAAGCATATCATGCCATGGTAGTCATCTTGTCAAAAAAAAGTGGGGAAAACGATCGTCTTTTGTCCATTTGAGCTTCAATTGAATTGATGTCTCATTTTTGTTCTCTGTAGGAGCCCTTCACCACGTTCTTCCTCGGTGCCAACGATAACAAATTCGACCATCCTGATCGCACGTTTTCTGCCATCACACGCTCTTGGAGAAACTGTCAAAGAGACACGTCGGATGTAAAAGTGAGAAATATAACAGTGTCGGGTGTATGCTTTGCCCTCGCAACTGTAGAACCATCATGTGTTTGTGTTTGTGCATCGACGTGGTTCAGTGGTTTGGCTGTGAGACAAAAGTTCAACCCTGAAAATAACAAAACGATGTAGCAATACTTTGTTTTCTATATCTGCTGTTAGAATGCGTGCAGAATTACACAAAACCTGCTTTCCTTCCTCAGTAAAGCTCTCAAGACTGTAAAAATAAATAACATCCCATTAATTATAAATGTCTTACCTAAACAAAAAGAAATCGCAACCCCGCAGTGTGCACATACTCTATGCATGTTTGATTTATCTCATGCAAAAAGCAAACTGTTTCAGAGGTAGACTGTTCTTGAACAAAGGCTGAATCTGAAAGGAAAACAAAGCCCTCTCTCTCTCTACAGATTCTCTGTGCACACACTGAAAAACGCTGAACCCTGCTGATTTGCCTCCATTTTGCCCACTGCATAACACACAGCAGGGATACGCACTGACCTCAAAGTGTCATATATTTCTAGCACACCCTGCGTAGGATAGTGTTGCCTCAGGCAATTAATAAAGCATTAATGACAAAAGCTATTTAAAATGTAGTCTTTTATGTACAGACAGGGCTTTTACTTGCTGGGATCAGGGGGAGAACCAGCAATCCATGTGAGGAAGAGGCATAACACTGCAAGCCGCTGAACGACTTGATAGTCAAACGCCACCCTGTTAACAAACACAGTCTACTTTTGGCCACTTGCACATCTGCATGCATTTGTTTTTACACACGTAAGATGGTTGCCAAACTAATAGAGGCATTGTACTATGAAGGACAGTGCAGTATTCCTAAAAGGGTTTCATAATTTAATAGAAAAGCGGAAATATTACACAAGAGCTACTTAGTTTGGGTTACTCATGGTTCCTAGCATCGGCAAGCTGCAGGAAATGGCACTATGTTAGCCGTAAAATTGGATACAAATCCACCAAAGTGGGAAAGAAACAAAAGTAGTTGGCTTACAGGGTTAAGGTCAGTCTGGCTCAGACCACTGAGCAGTCCATTGGGCCTCTGATTTAAAGGGAGCTTGTTTTTAGCGGGGTCTCTCTTTCATTAACCCCAGCCTCCTCCTGTAGTAATGATGACAAGGCCAAGGGAGGCTGAGCTCCTGATGGGGATGACCCCTTAAAGGAGCAAGTCAAATGGAAACACCCCTGAAAAAAGAACCTCTCCTTCCTGAAAACACTGCAATTTATGTAAATTCTCTTCCATACCTTTCATTTATGTCTCTATGAACACGCAGTCAAGTTATGCGTGTTGACAAAGAGAGATATAGACTTTTCTTTAAAGTAGCGGGGACAAATCCACACACACGGAAACACACACACAAACTGCCAGTGTGTTGTCTGAAGGTATCCAGCAGCACTCTCCTGGTGACAGATTTTGACAAACATGTCATTAAGGTGACACAGTGTAAAGCAATGTAGGCTTGAGTGATTGACTTGTTAGCCCATTACAATGCTGTTGCAGAATTAATGGCTACCATGGGAGGGTGGCTTGAAAGCAGAGCTGGCAGTTTTAACAGCTTGGCAGTGAGTTACAGCAGCAAGTTTACAAAAAAAAAAAAAAAAAAAAAAGCAGAGGGAAAGTGTGCTTATGTGTATGTGGACCAAAAGAAGGAAACACAGATTATGTTTTTTTTTTTTTTTTTTTTTACTTCTTTTCCTGTCATGTGCAGAGGGTGAAATTTGACCAACAGCAGACCAGTAGTCTTATTGGCCTGTACCATGTCATGGCAACTCACTCTCTGAAAACCAAATGATTTATGGGCACCTAAAAGCTCTAAGCAGTAAGTTTCCCATAGGCAGGATTAAAGTCTTTATTACCACTGAATCTGACAAATGCTGCTTTTATAAAATAAAGAAAATTAGAGGAGCTAAGGTACTGACTTGATAATCTCAGTCTGAGAGAAAGACAATTATTCTTAAACTTTTCTATGCGACTAATGAGAACAGGGTGAAAGACCTACATTCCTAGAGTGCTTATGCCTGACTGTGCAAAGGCTCTACTCCTTTATCCCTTCTTAGATCAAGAAGGTAAAGGATCAAAATGGAGGATGCATAAGTGCTGTCTCCTTTATTTCTTATATTTTAATTAACCTTTCCTGAACAGTCTGTCCATTTAAACTGCATTCGGTTTTAACCATGCTGCAGTATTAAAATTGTTAATATATGTTTAGTCATGAAATTTTTAATTAAAGACAATGTTCATACTACTTAAACTTGTAATACATAATTGTGGAATGGCAGGAAAATGATGTATGTTTTTCAATTTTATTTCATAAATGAGTACTTGGGAAAAAATTGGCATTCATCTATATCTAGTTCCCTTTACTCTGGCATCCATAGATCAAATTCAGTGTTACCATTATCTTCAAAAGTCAGCTAATTGGTGAACTGAGTAGACATATCTGTAGTATAATGTCAGTATAACTATCCTGTGAGTACCAATAACCAAAACCTTTGGCATAAGGGGCAAAATTCAATTCATTGAAATTTGGAAAAATGTTGGAGAGCTTCACAACTAACAAGATATAACTATCCATCTGACAGACCAGCTGGAGGAGCATTAATCTCAGAAACAAGTGGCCCTTGGTAAATCTGAAGGAGCTGCAGAAATTCATGGCTCAGATGGGAGAACCTGTCAACAGGACAATTTGATGTTGTGCATTCCTTAAATCTGTCACGAGTGATATAGAGGAAAGAAGAAAGTCATAAGACGTGTTGTTGTGTATTGACACAAGCTATGTATGGGACTTTGCTAACATATGGAAGAAGATTCTCTGGTTTTGTGAGACCAAGCTTGTCCTTTTTGTGCATACAAAAAAAAAAAAAACATGTGACAGAAATTCTAACTAACTATTACAGCTAACTGACCATCCCCATGGCAAAACACAGTGTGGGTAGCATCATGCATTATGACAGCCTTTCTTCAGCTGGCTAGGACTGATAAAAATTTAGATGGAGCCAAATACGGCAATGCTGGAAGAAAACCTGTGAGAGGTTGCCACACAATACTAAATGTGGTGGAGTTTTACATTACAAAAGGAAAATGTCCCTAAAATATCCAGAGTTGCAATGTTATGGTTTAGATCAAAATATATTTATGTAATTTTAATGGGGGATCTGTGTCAAGAGGGGAAAACCGATGTTCACAGATGGTGTCCATCCAATCTGACTAAAGTAGAACTGTTTTGCAGAGAAGAATGAACAAAAGTTTCGGCCTCTGAATTTACAAAGATGTAAGAGACATAACAAAAAAGACATGCGGATGTAATAGCAGCGAAGGGCGGTTCTACCATGTATAATAACCATTTACCAATTTTCTTCCACTTCATATTTATTCATCGACTTGTGTTGGTTTATCACATAAAATACAAATGAAACCTACAAATGTTTGTGGTCACAGTGAGAAAAATGTGCCAAAAAAACCCCAATGGGGTATGAATTTTCCAAGAAACTGTCAAACATATGGGATTTGCCCTTGTTTAAGTACAACAGAAAATCCTGTTGGGAAGCGTGTTGTCTCAAAGCTCAGGTCAATATTTGCTCTCCCCTTGAGTGTAAATCACACTCGGCTTTACATTAAGAGCTCTTTTACCAAGCTCACTTCCCCTCCGCAGCAGGGTCCTGACCCCATCACAAGAACCTAGAGACTAGAGAGAAAAACCCAACTCAGTTCCAGTTTCATTTAACACATCTAACACCTCTGCCTGGAATAACTGGACTAGCGCCACTCGAAGACCCTCCCATGGCCTGCTGTTCAGTTTGTTTGTGTTACCTTTCCCCTTGAATTTTCACTTCATCTCAGTGAAATTGTTTCTTATGTTGTTGTTTTTTTTCTTCCTTTTTCCACCTTTATATCCACAGACATATTTGTTTTTAGGCCTTCAGAATCACCCGTGGTAATATTATTGAACATTTCTCTTCTTTAGGAATTGATTCCCGAGTTCTACTATCTCCCAGAGATGTTTGTTAACAGCAATGGCTACCATTTAGGAATGAGGGAGGATGGAAACATGATCTGTGATGTGGACTTGCCAGCCTGGGCCAAGAAGCCTGAAGACTTTGTTCGGATAAACAGGATGGTAAGCATTATGAGGATTGCCTGTTTAAACTCCATAGGAGTTTACACACAGGAACAAAATGAGGTCTTCACCATATAGAAAAAAATGAACTTGTTAATATTGCACTTAGCAAAATAATTTTTATACTGTCTCATTCCTTTCAGTGAAGTACATTTACTCCCTGCGTAGGAAACTATTTACCTTTCTTGGTGAATATTGAATAATTTAAGTGATTTAAAATGATTTCATTTTGGTTTTTGTAACGTTGAACTTACATTTAATTCATAAGTATAATGCACGTGACTTTATTGGTTTGCTTTAGAATTAGTGTTTGTGAGTTGTTACACTATTTGCATTGCATTGCTCGAAAAATTTAATATAGCGTCTGTTTCCTGATCCATACTTATCTGTTAGTGTTCAATTTAACAATTTTACAATATATTCTATAATAATTAATACTCAATTGTTACCCTCTAACGTTTACTTATAATGTCTTGTCCAAATTGTGGATTATTAAACTCCTTACTCAGTACTATCTCTCCACCCTGAGTTCCTACAATGTCACTAGAGGAGAGGGCTAAGAGCAATTTTATCTTATAATGCTACCCTTTATGAAGCTGGGCCCCATGACTTGGGAGGGGTCAAAGGTCTTTATGTCTGAGAGTGTGTGTTTAAACACAGCCCACAGCATGGGACTCCCAACTTCCAACAGGTTTCAGGTATACAGCACCAAAACAGCAAATCAGGGTCATTTGTTACCATCAGATAAACTCAGTTTTTCCTTTAGTCTCAAATGACTTGGTGCAGAAACTCAGCAAGTCTGCTTTCTGCATTCACACAAAAACTACACACAAAGGCCACTTGATAAATAGCTTGATATACACTGCAGAACTAAGGGATTTTGGTCGCAAATGACTCTGTATACAAATATGAACAATCCTACTATTGGGTCAGCAAAGGTGAACAAAATGTCCTATTGTCCTTTTACGGCTTTGTGAAAAAAGCAACTAATATTACAAATAGAAATCTGATTCCCACTGTTTAATATTTAAAGTCTTTTCATAGCATGTAGCGCGCTCATGTTTAACAAGCCAAACAACTGTGACTACTTTGTGCCAAAGGTGGAGCAAGGCAGCAAAAATGTACCTTATATTCCCAGAAAAAGATTTTAATATGCCTCTGCTTTCTAATTTAGGCATAACGACCGACTTCCTCTATAAACGCAGGGCAACTTCTGCAACACAGCTGGGCAGAAACAATATACCCTGAGGTTAGGGGCCGCAGTGTTTTTGGACCTGAAGTAGAAGGACGCCATGGGAACACTCTTGACCTTTTCAGCAAGAGTGGCAGAGTTTGGCTGGTCTTATGCAGGTGACCTTTCCCCAAGCTCAACCCGCGCTGCCTGGTTGTGCTCCATCAGGCGCGTACACCAGGGGAGGGGGGGGGGGGGTACAGAGGAACGGGGAAAAATGAAAAATTGTTAATGGCATGTCCGCATCACCTAAACAGAAAAGGCGGTTGAATGGAAGAGAAAGGAACGGCTGCAGTGGAAATGTTGTCATGTTGATGGGATAAACATGCCTGACGTTACCTTGGATTTTTAAACTGTTCAAAAGAATCGTAGTGCAGTTCTTCTATTTTTGCTTTCTTTTGTTCTCCCCCCCCCCCCCATCTACCCCCCGTTTATTTCCTTTTTTTTTTCCTCTTCTTTCGTTGATTCTTCTG